GTATATGAAGGAAATTCCCATGAAATATTTGTCGAACAAATATTTTTATCTTTAATAACATTAACACTTCATTTAAATGACCTAGCTAAATCTGTACATGAAAGTTGTAAAACATGTTTTCAATTCATCGCACTATTACTTGATCAACCACAATTAGTCGAATTAGTTTTTTAAAGAAACTCTTCAACGAAAAATATCTCTTGTTAGCGCAGAATTTATTAATGACTTTTGCAAAATATTAGTTTAACAATATTCATATAAAGTTCGTTTTTTTTTATTATGAATTGTATAATTTTTTTCAATATTTTGTTATGGAATTACGTGCTGATGCACAGACTGTAATTGATTATTTAACACTTAATTTAACTGAAAAACAAATAAATGATCTATCAAAAGAACATATTTTAAATGATAACTAATTTTGAATTTTTTTGAATAGAAAAAGCTCAGATATATTTTTCTTTTCATAGCATTTGTACGATTCGAATCCAGATGTATGCTATTGGGTGGCGAAATTAATACATTTTATGTATAAATTCTAAATAATAAAAAATAATGATATCTACACAATACTTTTTTGTTAATCTACTTCCAATGATTGTCTTTCATTTTAATAATTTTATTATTTTTTTCGGATGATATAGTTTCTTTTATGAATGTGTTTATAATTGTTTTTCTAATGACAATCGATAATTTCAAACTTCTTTTTATTTTTGATTTTTTAAATAAAATTTTAATTGAACTATTTATACGATTCACCTGAATAATATCGAGAGTAAAAATGTTGACGGCAAGATGTCGCAAAAGGAAAAACATCGAAAAGTAAAGATACCGAGAAACAGAATGTCCAAATTAGAACTGTCAAAAGCAAACGTTTTTATAGTATGAAATTACAGAAGTTCCATATTCATATAGAATAATTCAAAAAAATATGTGAAGCGAGATGGTGCTAACGATCGGTAAACAAAATGACGTACACTTATCCAATATCACCCTCACCCTTCTTTTAGCAATTAATCTATCATTTTTAATCTAAGTCATCTATTATTCTATTAGTGAAGATTTATTTGATCTACAACTTTTATACTTTCTCATAAATCGTCTAAAGTATTGAAAAAAAAGTATAGATGGTTTCAGATAATATGCAGTTACAATTCGACACAGAATCTGCAAATTAACTACAGTGGACGTCATAAGTCTCGCACCACTTTTTTTTTTGGTTGGCATTTCAAAAATACACGACATAAATTTAAATTTCTTTTTATCTTCAGATAGCAGAGCTCGAGTACTATATGTATGCATATTTTTGAAATGAATAACTCTTGAAGCGAAAACATACGAAAAAAAATAAACTTCAGTACTACAACAAAAACTATCGAAAAAAAGACAAAATGCTATGATTGTTATGAGTTTGAGTAAGACCCTAGTAATGTGAAAATCGAATAATTTTTTGTTTGATATTTTTACATGAATCGATAGATCTTGATGAGCTCTACAAAACTGTCTATATTAAAATTTTTTAGAATTCTCTTCGGGTACAAAAAAGATTACTAAATAATTGCATGCTTCGTTTGTTCTATATGAAAAGTCAGGAATCTTTTTTATGCTATAAAAGGGTAAAAATCACAATTTTATTACAAATTTTAGTCCCAGAAAATGGTTCTAAAAAATTTAAATACAGATAGTTTTGTAGAGCTCGTCGAGATCTATCAATTCATGTAAAAATATCAAACAAAGTCTTACACGAGTTTCGTATTATTTCAACTTTAGTGAAACTTCTATAACACATAACAATCATACTATTTTGTCTTTTTTTGAGTAGTTTTTGTTGTAGTATTGAAGTTTATTTTTTTTCGTATGTTTTCGCTTCAAGAGTTATTCATTTCAAAAATATGCATACATATAGTACTCGAGCTCCGCTATCTGAAGATAAAAAGAAATTTAAATTTATGTCGTGTATTTTTGAAATGCCAACTAAAACAAAAAAGTGGTGCGAGACTTATGACGTCCACTGTAGTTTTCATGAAACTTACAACTTTCTTTTATGACTACGTTTTGAAGACGAAATAAATTACACTAACAGCTAATGTATTGTAAATTACAAATTCAACATTATGAACATGTCTTAGATTAACTCACAAAACAAAGAACGATAATATTCTCATATGACAGAATAAGAGGATATATATTCAACAACTAAACAACAAAAAAAAATTAAACTTAGACACAAAGAAACACATCAAATTAGACAATATTGACAACAGAAAAGGGTTCATATTTGCGTTCACATCTGAGTGTGGATAAACACCATTTGATAGGTTTGGAAATATAAGTTGTAACAGCGACCGAAGCAAACGATTTCTGTGATCGTTCAACAGTAGAATCGGATGTATTATTGTTATCAAGAACTGTTGGATCAATTGTAAGTGAAGAACACTAAAAGTTCATAAATAATATTTAGAGCTTATATTTCTAATAAAACAAAGTCTATTTCATCCAATCATAAGAAGTAGATATTTGATGAGAATATTTGTTTCTTAGTAATTATAAAAGGCTTTAATCAAATGTTCATTTTTTACAGGTTTAGAAGTTTTTTTCGATACTTCTCAAAACAATTGTATAGAGCTAAGATATCTTCAAAACTTTTGATACAGACTAAATTGTGACGAATGTAACTTATATTAAGTATTCAGACTTTTAGTCAGATTGAATGTTGAATGGAAGAAATTAGATTTTGGATCTTTAGAAAAACTCCAAATGATTTACATCCAAAATGTATTATTTTCCACTTATAGTTGATTCATTTCATTTTCAATCTTAGTGTAAGATAGTCTTGAAAATATCAATATATGATATTTTGGCTATGAAAAAAGTTATGAAACAGATTAAAGTTTCAGCTAAAAACAGATATGTCCTTTTCATGCTACTGAAACTCGGGAAAATATCGATTTTTCGAATATTTTATGAAAAAAAATTATTTCCGCAATATCGATTTCTCGAGAAAACCACATTCATTGTGACTAAGACTCTTCGTCTATTCTAAAAATCATCTGATCTTTCCATAATGAAATGTCAAAGTAAGATATTCTATTTCGATATTTCTGAAAATATCTTGTGATACATTGAAATTGATCAAAATGAATTCAATTTAAATATAATAGATTATGGAAATAAATACTTTTCAATCTTCTGTAGTCTCAGTTAGCCTTGCAGTGTGAAATATATCATTTAAAAGTGAAATGAACACTTCGAAACTTTCTTTGTAAGATATTATGGTAGCTACTTAACTAAAAATTATACATATATCAAGCAGAATTGAATCGTTTTTAAAAATTTTTTCACATCATTGACATTAATTTGGATTATTTTCTAGAAGTTTGCACAAGTCAAAGAGATCTGTGGCTCGTAGGTATAAACAACACTGAAAACCTATCAATTATCTAGGCCGCTCTGGTGGAATGAAATATTTTAAGTGTTTCGCCGAATCAGAAATAAATTGATCTTTTGCACATGCCGCTGACTGTTTCAAGTCACAGAAGAGAAAGGATAAAGGATAACGACACGGTTCAATTTATCTACATATTGATCGAGTCATAGAACAAGCGTATCTTGTGTACATATGTTTGGTTTTGATCGTACATGTGATTAAATACAAAGAAACCAATTGGCTTTTATGAACAAAAAAATGCTCGATTGTTCTAGCAATTACTCACCCAAAAAGACACAATGTATAGGACAGCAACCATAATTAATACAACAAGTAAAATGAATAGCACAACACTATATGTATAAATCATTATTCGTTCTGAGCCATTAGTTGTTATCTGTGAATAACATGAAAATGAGTTATATTATTTATTAAACATTAATACTTACACTGCGCACAATTACTGTACGCAACGAGCTACTAATCATTACGACGATGGTAATCCACCACAGACTCAGAGCGATCGGATGTGAAGCGAGTCGTACCAAACGTTCATTACATTTCTTACTTCCAAATTCAAATGAGAAAGGTGATAAACTCATTTCAGAGTTCATCTTAATAATGGACATGAAAGGTTGTTGTTGACGGCAAACGAATATAGCAATCTTTAATGTAGTAACTATAATATTACGATCTACAATGAAGTATTTCACAGGTTAATTGAAAATAGTTTCTTATAAAAAAATCTTATCTAATTCTTTCTATATAATCATTAGTTCGAGTATTTAGAAAAATTTAACTAACTTTTAAAGTGTTCATTCTTGTTCTGTTTACTTCATTCTTACGTTACGAGTAAAACATCGAATTTTCCTTACGATTTATAAATGACAGTAGAACCTAGCTCCAAGATTCCATGCAAAATTGTTTCTCATTCATAAAACTAGAAAAAACTAATGGCAGAACTTAGATAAAATTT